TATATATATATATATATATATATATATATATATATATATATATACACGTACGGCGTAAATTAGAGCAGAGAGATATAAATAATCAGCCTAATCACTCGTTCATAGAGAATCTCATCAAAAATATTAAGGTTCTCTGTTGTTTTTGTTAACGTGTCTGATAAAAAAACTTAAAAGGGAAAATTTAACTACATGATTGCAATGTTTATCAAGAATAAACTTATTTTTCCTTCTTTCAGTGTGATTTGAAATATAATACGAGTTTTTTAGAGCATTGCAAGTAAGTATTCCGAAATATATACAATTTTTTCTTTTGTTTACACAACGTTAAACAAGCATATTTTTTTTTGACGTATCCCGATAGTTATTTGCATAAATTGTATCTATTCCATCAATTAAAACTAATGGGAGAAAAAATGAATGAAAAAGGAAGATAATTTTATTTTTTGTCAGATCAAAAACAAAAAACTTTTAGTGAAAATGACTTTTAAATGGCGGGGGAGGTGGTTTTTCGTAAAGTATTTAAGTCACGCATCCTTGACTTTACGCTTTTTTGTCTGACAAATAAAATTATTTTTTCCTGGTTACTTCATTTAAGAATTTTGTTCTTAAAATTTTTATTTTATTTTTTGTCACCTTTTTAGCTCTAAGATAAGAAATTTTTTTTATGTGTTTGAAATTTCGATTGACAAAAACGTTTTTCTGGCACAGTTTAGAAAATAATCGTAACATTTGAAGCACAGAGGTTTAATTACAAGAAAAGTGGCTAAAATTGACAATTATTTTTTTATTGGGTGATTAAATAGTGAGTTAAATTCTGATTGTAATGATCAAAGAACCAAATTCAACTTGCACTGTCCTCTAGATATAATTTAAGCATGGTATCTAGTTTAGCACATTAGTAAGCTGACCTCAAAGCCCAAATCTGAAACATTTCTAAATACATATTTGAAAACTCACTTTTTTATTTCCAATTATTTGAAAAATAAATTATTTCTGTTAGAGAATCTGTGTGAGGGATTTCTGTTCTCAAAATATTGAATCAGAAAGATAAACAGTGCGTTTTCAAATATCCGTTTAAAATTTTTACAACCAGTTTTTTTTAGATTTGGGAGGACGCTGGTCAGCCTAATGTTAGCGTAAAATTTTCATTTCGAACATTTTGAAGCGAGACTAAAATGAACTGAACCTACCTTGTCAGTAAAGACCACGTCATAGAGGTTCATGTTTGTTAGAATTCTCAGGGAGCTGTCAGAGACTATTGAAGAAATGATCGATTGCAGGAGACAAAAAAGAAAAGAAAATGAATCGAAAAAAAATTCATAATTAGGACTGCAACATTAATTTGTCTTTTCATTCCAGAGATTTCATTGGATGAAGGATCCAAGGAACAAAACTGTTTATAGAGCGTAATAATGATATAAGAGAAGATTTAAAAATCGTCGAGTTTTGTTCGAAGACCTGCAAATTAGAACGATATCTGAATGTCCTACATGAGTGTTAGGGATTTCGCCAATTTGTAGAAAAAAGATTACTTTAGCAACAGCTTTACCCATTCTATTTCGAGTAAGCCAAGCCAGACAAGTATCAATTCTCTTAAATGACACATTCTGTATTCTTTCACAAAGATTTCAATTCTTTTACTATACACTTCTTACTTAACATAAAGGCAGACACGATGTCATGTAGAACATAAACAGACTAATTATGGATCGAATTTGCCGTGTAGACAAAACAAAAATATATCACGGTTACAATAAAATTTAATAACAAATCTAAGCTAAGTAAAAGAAGTTGACGAGAAAGAATTATAATTCAACACATTCGATGTGCGATACTGCACTGTATTTAAATAACTCCACGTTAATTAGCATTCTGACCTAGATAGAGAAACTTAGCCCAACTTCAACAAGCCATCATAAGTCACATATGTGGGTATCCGAGATTTTCTTCTTGATGGGTATGTACCCAATGACACATTTGTAAGAAAATCTACCACAGTGTGTCGAAATTCTGTTATTCCAAATTCTAGAAAACCTTTTCGGGGAGGAGAAATTTTTGGTAGTGTATTGAACCGTTGTTCTCCATCAGGGGTTTCCAACTTACACGAGGCCGGGGGCCACAATTAAAAACACAAATCAAATGGCGGGCCGTAACTTTATCATAATTTTATGTAGGACTATTTTATGTTTGAAGGAACATTAAATATTACTGTCAGATTTTTACCAAACTGTACAAAACAAAAGTACTGAATTACAAATTAAAATAAGAAGTAGATTTTTAAAAATATTTAGTTGCATATTAATAATATTTTTAAAAATATTAAATAGACAATAAAAATTCGGGCTACAATAACTTTAATATGCACCTATGTATCAAACACTTAATGTGCGACAGATATCTAATTGTTATGATATNGAATGTCCTATATGAGTGTTAGGGATTTCGCCAATTTGTAGATTACTTTAGCAACACCTTTATCCATTCTATTTCGAGTAAGCCAAGCCCGTCAAGTATCAATTCTCTTAAATGACACATTCTATATTCTTTCACAAAGATTTCAATTCTTTTACTATACACTTCTTACTTAACATAAAGGCAGACACGAAGTCATGTAGAGCATAAACAGACTAATTATGGATCGAATTTGCCGTGTAGACAAAACAAAAATATATCACGGTTACAATAAAATTTAAAAACAAATCTAAGCTAAGTAAAAGATGTTGACGAGAAAGAATTATGATTCAACACATTCGATGTGCGATACTGCACACTGTATTTAAATAACTCAACGTTAATTAGCATTCTGACCTAGATAGAGAAACTTAGCCCAACTTTAACAAGCCATCATAAGTCACATATGTGGGTATCCGAGATTTTCTTCTTGATGGGTAAGTACCCAATGACACATTTGTAAGAAAATCTACCACAGTGTGTCGAAACTCTGTTATTCCAAATTCTAGAAAACCTTTTCGGGGAGGAGAAATTTTTGGTAGTGTATTGAACCGTTGTTCTCCATCAGGGGTTTCCAACTTACACGAGACCGGGGGTCACAATTAAAAACACAAATCAAATGGCGGGCCGTAACTTTATCATAATTTTATGTAGGACTCTTTTATGTTTGAAGGAACATTAAATATTACTGTCTGATTTTTGCCAAGCTGTACAAAACAAAAGTACTGAATTACAAATTAAAATAAGAAGTAGTTTTTTAAAAATATTTAGTTGCATATTAATAATATTTTTAAAAATATTAAATAGATAATAAAAATTCGGGCTACAATAACTTTAATATGCACCTATGTATCAAACACTTAATGTGCGACAGATATCTAATTGTTATGATATAAAACTCTAAAAAGTTGGTATTAAAACTTACCTAGTAGCACACAAAATATTCAATGAGAAAATTCAGGTTTGTCTGCTGCAACCACCAGAGAATAGATACTTAAATTTAAAATTTACAAATGTGTGTGTAAATATTTTCGTCCAAAATTAGTGGTTTCAAAAAGTTAAATCGGAGAATTTCTTCGAGAAAATTTCTAATACCCACATGCTAAATTATATTCCCAAAATACAAAAAAAAAAATGAAATAAAAAAGAGCAACATACACGATAATTTTTGTATTTGAATAAATATTTTCTTGGATGCAATACCTGAGAAATAAATTTCTTTGCATCGTTGGCGTGTTAAATTTCACAGAAACAAAGAAATTAGGTTTTTATTAACGAAAAAAGTATTTCAAACCCATATAGATTTTTTACCAAAATCGTCCGCAAAAAAATGACAAATAATCTATTTTAATTCGCGGGCCACAAAAAAAGGCTTCGATGGCCGCCAGTTGGAAACCCCTGTTCTACATTTACTAGGAATTGTAATTTAAAGTTTTTTTTTTTTTTTTTAATGTTTTATATTCGAAAATACTTTATACGCGTTGTTTTTAAAAATGTAAGTTATCCTAGTAAATGGTATAAGTGAGAGAAAAGATCCAATGTGAATGGATTTCTTATGAATTTTTTACTTTATTACTCTTTCAGTGGATTAATAATGAATTACTAATGAAAACATTAATAATGAATTACTACAGTTATGCTTTCATTTTGCGCGTAATTCTAGAGAAAACGTTTAGTCGGATGTTAAACGTTTCATCACTAATAGATTATTAGAGATGGACTGGGTTGGATCCTTAATCTAAAGACAAAATTAGTACATGTACGAACTAAATACACATAATTTAGACGAGGTGGTGATATTCATCACCCGATCTCCACACCTCGCTCCCCAACCATCCGATTCACCTAAAATTACCGGAAATATTGCATTAGAGTAGATTTCGAAAGCACTGAGACACAATCAGAGGAAATAAAACCCCATCAGACATCCACACATTATCATCTGTCCCAGTTTAATGAAATAAAATGATGGAAATTAATTTCTAGATCGACGAGCTATCAATTTTTACATCAAACTTATTATTTTTTTTTAAACGAAATATTTCAATTTCGGGTAAGTGTTAAACGAAGAACACCCGGAAAAATCATTGAGACATTCTTTTGTTTGTTTTGTTTTAGAGTTAAAACTGTGCATATTGAATATTCCTTTAGAAAGTTTCGATTGAAACGACAGACATACCAAGCTAAATATAATGTAAGTATTAAAATTTGAAAAATATTTAAAACGTATTTTTTTAAAATATTGAAATTTGTTTTATAAATACTGCGATAGTCCTGGCTATCTCCAATCTGCTGTAATTACTATTTTTATATAATTAATTCAGATTACTTTGATTGTTATTTTTCTTTTATATTTTATATACCTCATTGATAAGTTGACCCGATTTTGAGTTCACGACTACTAGTGTTCAACTCTGTAGCCTTCTCATTTTGAACCCAATCCAGAAGACAAGGGAACTCCTGGATCTAGTAGTGGGAGAAATGTGTTTTCGTGGAGGGATTTTTGAGGAAACTAAGCCGCATTTGCGTTAGATGGAGAGGAAAACAACGAAAATCTCCTATGGCTAGCCTGACGGCGAGGGGGCTCTAATCCATGATTCATCTACCTCTGAGGATATTTACTTTATTTATTATTATTAGGATATTTATTATTAATAATATGTACATTTTGGCCTTAAGCTTAGTTAACCATTAACTTGGTTGCGTCCCAAAATAAAAAATTAAATAGTTGCTCATTAGTGAAGTTCTTCTCACGCGTGACTCGGGGCCTTGTGCCTTGGGTCCATTGAATAGCTTCGTCTTCATTCTGCGACGGAGTGTCAATGACTCGACGTGTCAATAAATTTTACGAATGCTCTCTCAGAGCCAGGGGCGCCATATAAGAATAATTATAAAGATTACGATTATATTTCTAGAAAATTATCAGTGTCATTATAATTTCTTTATGAACTCTCGTCAATTTAAATTTGGAATGATGAATGACGTCCACTATAAATTGAAAAACAATTTATTGAAAATTGTCACGCTTGACGGCAATGTGAATCTTGACGAGATGAAAATAATTTCACAATCAGTTCCGAAAGGTTTTCAAATGTATATAGTAGGAAGCATGGCCGTGGCTTGCCATGAATGACCGCGAAATCATCTAAAAACCAGGCTATCCCGTCCACGAATGTAAACGAATGTAAAGAGGCATTCTGATTGTAGAGTGTCTTATATTCTAAAAGGAAGTCATTTTGACTGCCTTTTAATTTCAATTAGAAAAACAATGATGTGTATAATGACACAATTTCTTAGAATTTTGTGACTTTTTGTACAACATATAATTTTTTTTATTGTTATTATTTACTAATAACTTGTTATATAACTGTAAATAATATAAAAAAAATATTAAAAATTAATTTTAAGCAAATTTCTTGACACATTAGTTATTCTTTCACAATCCAGTCTTACTGACTGCTTTTGGACAAATATACTAAGTTTCAGTCTTTCTAGTGTTCAGTTATGCATTTTATATAGAGTGTTGCTTTATTTTCTATAGAGTGTTGAACTATTCAGCTACGTAGGAGGTTATTTGGGACTCTGGCTCGGTATAAGTCTAGTTTCGATTTTTGATTTGTGTGAATCATTTTGCAAAGTCTTGTGCAACTCTAAGAAAAAAAAAGGGTTTAAGAAGTTTCAAGCCACCTCCAAAGAAGTTAATTAATCAACCATTTGCTTAGACTTTTTTTTTCTTAAAAAAACTGAATCATGCGTTTTAACCATGACTGTGTTATGATTTTTTCGAATTATAAAAAATTATGTATGAAACCCTGTTGTATAATTCTAATAAATTTTTCCATTGATACAAGTTTTTCGAAATTTTATTCTAATCGTGCACCAAAAAAAAAAAAAAAAAAANAAAAAAAAAAAGAGAGAGAGAGAAAATCTAAAATAAACAAAAATCGGATAATTTAAATAAATTTGAGTTGAAATTGAATTAAGTTGAAGTGTACGAATTAACAAACTATTTGCTTTAAAATGTTCTTGTTTTGAATATGTTACTATGAATAGCCGAAATCGGCGGTTGTTGACTTCCACCGGTGAATGAGTGTAACGATTGGAATTATGAATGTATTTAGAGCTTTTCAAGAGTTCTAATTAGTTATTTAATAAGTATGAAATGAGAGAAGTCTCTATTACATTTAATTTATAATCAGTCTCTGCAATTTAATTATTTTTTTTTAAAATTTTTTTCATAGAATTCGATAGGTTCTTTTTTTCAGGGCTTTTTTTCTTCTCTTTTTCTCACCTAAAGAATAAAAAAGAAACTGTATTATACATGAAAAAAAAAACACTGAGGGAAATTAAAGATAAATAAAAATAAATTACGATTGGCATCCGTGTTAAATGCTTAATTGGTAGCGGAACCATTTTGTCATAAAAAAACCTATCATGAATAATTAATTGTTCCACTACTAACCACCCACATTAAATGGCGAATCTAAAGAAAAAAATCCAAAATTCGAATACATGACGTATTAAGTTCTCTAATGACCACGACTTATTCACGAAAGAAAACATTTTTAAAAAGTTACAACTCAACTTAACCCACACACTATATCAAACTATGCGAGAGGAATAAATTTGGTTGTTCGATTTTTCGAATAAGCTTTCATGGTTCCGTTTCACCGCAAATACCCACTAAACCAATTTAATAAAGATATCCACCACAAGACCCCACATGGAACCGATGCTCACATTCCACAGGCGTTGAAATAAAGTTTTCCTTAACGCCCACGCCAGAAATTCCAATCATTTTAACAGGCAGTCCTTTTTTCTTCTTCTTTCTAAATGAATTTCGAGAACCTCGGACGCCTCCACAAATCTCCAGGGGAGTTCTAAATTATGACCGAAAAGTGAGCAAACGTTTGACTTTTCCGAATTTCATCCAAGATGGCAAAAGATCTGATTTGCATATCTTTCTTATCGTCTGCACTCCAAACACAAATGGAAAACTTGAATTCTAAAATACCTCAAATCCCTATTCCGATTTATCATATTCAAATGCATATTTATTTATAGCATTGTATTGTTATCAAAAAACTTCTAAAGAAATAGATTAAAGTAATTAATTAACTTTACATTATAAATAAATTCACACATAAACATGCAAACTAAAGTTGAATTAATAGTATAATTTATGTTTAAATTTAAACTTAGAAGACGAAGAAGCTCAAAACATGTTAAATTCGATTTAAACTATTAAATGGCATCAGTTACATTAGAATTCAAATTTCGTGCCCTGTTTTAAGGTTAGGATTTCATACTGTTATTATATTATAAAAATATAGTGATATAAAAACTCATTCCACATAATTTTAATTATTTTTGACCCGCTCAGAAGTACTTTTATATCATTTTTAACTATTTTCAAAAGATGTCCGTGATATTCTCAAAGTACTGAATTTTAGTAACAATAAAAAATTTGTCCGTTGACCTTTAAACCTTTAAATTACACAAAACCACAATAAGTATGAATTTTGAACATTTCAGCATTAAAATGATTTCCTTCTCCTGTCGTGAGAGAAAACTCATCCCCAAGATTCCATTAAGCGCTGCACTCTATTTCCTCAAGCACCATACATAACTCGAGAATGGGACACCTGCAAGTGACGTAGTATGGGTATCTCCATCCTGATAGGTTGTTGAAATGTGTGCATTTGTTTACATTAGCCACTGTTCTTTTCATTCCATTTCGAGTAAGCCAAGCCCGTCAAACATCAATTCTCTTAAGTGACGCATTCTAAATTCTTTCACAAAGATTATCTCTTTTACTATATATCATTACACAAAGTCTTAACACCTTTGTGTTAAGACAGGCACGATGCCATGCAGAACATAAACAAATGAATGCTGCTTCGAAGTTGCCAGGTACACAAAACAAAAATATAAATCACGGTTACAATAAAATGCATAAGCGAATAATAAATGTAAGTTAAGTAGAAGAAATAGGCTATAAAGAATTAAATTTCAACAAATTCGATTTCCTATTAGGCTCTGTATTTAACTAACTTAACGTTAATTAACATTTTAAGTTATATTGAGAAACTTAGCTCAACTTTAATACTCCATATTGCCGATAAAGATTAGCTGGTGTTGACTTCATAAGTCACATGTGTGGTTATTGGTTGTCTTCTTTTTGTAGTGCAAATACCCAATTATATAAGATATATACTATTGCTCCAAAAAGTCAAGCTCCGTCACCGATAATTGTTATGACAGTCTGCGGAACCAAAGCATCTTTTATATTTTGAATTTCTTCAGCCATTTTAAGTTCTTATTTCAATAAAAAAATATTCTAAATAAATACATAACGTGTTACTAATCTATACTACATTAACTATCGCTTGACACTATCTTACAAAATGAATCTAAAGAAATGTTGTTGTTGCATATCCTCTTCCTGGCCTGACGAAGTCAGACCAGATCTATGAACTCGTTGACCTGAATAAAATCGAAAACCAAAAGAGGAGTAGAGTAAATGTCTTCCCAGAGAAGACCAAGACAGTCCAGGATGTGATCGGCTGAAGCCCTGTGTAGATGGCATTTTGGGCAAAAGGGGGTAGGCTTTAGTACCTTCGGAAAATAGAAAACCTTTAAGATGGCCGGTAGCTAGGAGGGAGATGGTGGTGCAGACTCTCCTTTCAAAGGGAAGAGTCAAAGAAACTACAGGCTTGTTTCCCTTGTACCAATGGTGGGTGGGGGGAATCAGCCAGTCTCTGAGAAGCAGGGACTTCTTCAGGGAATAGAGTTCAAGATAGGTAAGATCAGAAGTGCAGTTGGCTACAATCCTCTTTAGCTAGGCTGTCCGCTAAGTCGTTACCATAGAGACCGACGTGAGAAGGAATCCACTGTAGGTGAATATTATGTTGAAGGGACAAGAGTTTTAGTTTGTTTAGGATGGAAATACTGGCTTTGTCGCCAATTCGCTTCCAGTTGTGGCAGGGAGCTGTGGCTATCAGAGTATCCAAAGGTCTTTAAAACAAAGGTCATTTTGCATAACAAATTACAGACCCCTGTTGATAGCAAGAAGTTCACTTCTGAAAACAGAGCAGAAGTCTGGGTTACCCTGCCAGAGAGAAAATTTATCATCAGGAGTCTCGATGTACACTCCGCTACCAGCATGACTATCAATTTTGCTGCCGTCAAAATTTTTGTGTCTTGTTTCGGAATAGAGTGAATAAATTCAAGAGCCAGTTGCTTTAGATCATTGTTTCTCAAAAGGGGATGTAGGAGTATGCCGAGGGGTGGTGAACTTGTTTTGGGCAGTGGGTATGTTTTGGGAGTTAGGGGAGCGATGAGCATATTTTGTCATTCAAATTTAATTTTGAAACTTCCAAATAAAATTATTAAATTACTATTGCTTTCAATATGAGTGCTTGGTTTGACATATGTTTCTTATTCTTATGAAGGTTTTCGTTAGGTTCCTTTTAGCTCATCCCCCCCAGTTTCAATTCAATTATGCGCGAATTAGTTCTTTATCGTAAATTATTTATTAATTTTGAAGAATAGTTGATTTTCTTTCAACGTTTATATTTTGCTGCTACCAAAAATGTCGGTTAACAAAAAGACCATCGGCGAAGTGTTGATACTGCCGGCTGTCAAGGCAGTTTTAGAAACAGTTTTGCTGCATCCAATGTAATCAAAAATATCCTATTAAGCAACGATAAAGTTCAGCGACGCCGGCGAAATGATGAGATGGCTGAAGACGTTGAAGTTTCTTTATGCAAACTTTTGATATCCTACGCATTTTCCCCTCAAGTTTATGAGACTGTGGGGGATTTAATTATAAACACGTAACTTTTATCTATCAAAAGGTACCTCTTGATAGATGAAGGTTGACATAGTCGATAATAAAATCCCCACATTGGTATTTAATATTTGTAATGGTAGTTACGCCATATTACTCCCCTTCCGTAAAGTGGCGTAACTACCACTATAAATATTAAATACCAATTCACTAGTATATAAGACATGTTAACTTGATTCTATCACGAGGTACCTTTTGATAGATGAAGGTTGACATAGTCGATAATAAAATCCCCACAAGACAACCTTGCCAAGTAATGAGACTTAAATGTTGGCGTTAGTCCGGTTTGTTAAGGAAAGAAAAATTATTCAAGAGATGCGTTTAGCAAGAAGCTTGATTGTGGAAACCAAATGTGAATCTATTTTTAATACTATCAAAGATTATTTTAAAGAGAAAAACATTCCTCTTTCGAACATTATGTCTGTTGCCACTGATGAAACTCCAGCAATGGTGGGTCGACACTGTGGGCTCATCGCCCTTTTAAAGAGAGAGGTACCAGGTATTTTAGCTCTTCCCTGCGTGATTCACAGACAGCATTTAGTTGGAAAAAAATCCCGCTGTCGTTTGCATCAGTTGTTGCAATAGGTCGATCTCTGTTGATAGCAAAATTCGCAGTAATGCTCTCAATGATCTTTTATTAAGACAGCTGTTCAAGAAAAACGATGAAGAATTCAATCGTTTGCTACTACACACACACACCGAGATTCGCTATCTTTCCAAAGGCACCTGTCTCAATAGGTTTTAGAATCTTTTCGACTTTGTACTTGAGTTCCTCGAAGATAGAAATGTAGTTCTGAAAGACAGATTGCTAGAATTTAAGATAAAAGTTGAATACATGATAAATTTATTTGCAAAATTTATTGGTGTTAATTTACAACTTCAAGGCCACGAGCTCAATTTGATCACTACAAAATTAGTTATTTCTACTTTTCTGAAAAAATCATTTTGTGGAAACAA